CATTGTATGTTTTGTGACATTGATTTGATTTTTACGTCGAAGCATATTCTAAATCAAGATTACATTAGATATCTTTTTAAATAACTAAATATGCAGAAATTTTTTTTGATTCAGTTGATGATATCTTAAAGTTTGTTACAATTCATATGAAAAAGATGTTTGGTATATTTATTAATAGCAACGTCAATTCTTCTTCATAACTTGAAAGTGATGGGGTTCACAACGTGACTGTAAGTTGGTTATTTTCGACTGATACCTCATAATCAAAGATTCTTTGTCAAGTTTATTTTTCCTTAATTTCAGTGAAATCATAAATTAGTCATTGTGTTAGGCCACCATTAGAAACACAGAAGCACTGGACGGCCATTTCGACTTAGTGTAGGACTCATCAGCAATTAGCATACACGATACCACTGTAGTGAAAGAGAACACAGGTGAGGGCAACCGAATTGTATTTAACGAAAAGTACAGAGTTACTCAGTAAAATCAGAAAACCATATCGTAAACGGTTAATTTGCAAATCTTCAATCCATCATCAATCCATTGTCTGACATTTCACTATTCATGCGTTTCCTACAAATTCCATTGTGTTCTAACTCTTCCTTTCTTGATCTTCTCCCATGTTCTGCTGCCAGACACTACGTTGACACTCGCGTCATATACTACTTATAAGTAGCGCCCACCACACCACGAGGAATAAAGACCGAAACCTTCGGTCCCACCGATGGCTCTTAGTTCGACTCCCGCGGGAGGCGCTATTGGATACGCATTGCTAAAGAGTCTCATACTAGGTTGAACCGACCTCCTAATACTTTCATATTTCTAATGGTAGTCTAATATTCTATTCTCTCCTTCAAAAATATAAGACATATGTATACAGACACCCACATTTACATTAGTTATTCAAGGTTAGGGAACGGTTTAAAGGTGTACGTAATTTTTGCTGTCAATTACATTAGAACCATACGATCACAACGATTTTCACAACTTATACTCTGTGCTAAATTAAATCTCAATTTCACAAACTGTAGTGAACGAGAGCACAGGTGGGGCAACCGAATTGTATCTAACGGAAATTACAGAGTTACTCAGTAAAATCGGAAAAAACCATATCGTAAATCGTTCATTTGCAAAATATCAGTTCATCATATCGAACTGGACTGTTCCTGTTGCAAAACATCAATCCACTGTCACTACTATTCATGCGTTTCACACAAATTCCATTGTGTTCTAACTCTTCCTTTCTTGATCTTCTCCCATCTTCTGCTGCCAGACATTACGTTGACACTCACGTCATATACTACTTATAAGTAGCGCGCACCACAAAACAACTATTCAATTCTTACAAATGCATAGTCAATGTTTTTGTTGTTATAAGGAGTAAAAACGAAATAAAATTTTAGTATGACCTATGTAATATGTCAATTTATCATTGATCAATATTGTTTAGAATATATACAAACTAAAATATTTCTAATCATTCACATAAATTGTTACAACCATATTCATTGTTTAAACTGTTACAACATATCATTCATTGTACTTACGATTTGTTCAATGTTCAACAATACAATAAAATTCATGATTTTTTTTTTAAATCTGATTTTCGCACTATGATATATTAATATATATATATATAAATCTGGTCTATAAATATATCTATTTATGTATATAGTAATGTTTTGTACTATTTTTCTAAGTAACAGTAATAATAATAATAATAATAATGATAATAATAATAATAATAATAATGATATGTACATTGAACATTGAATTACTGTTAAAAATGATCTATCTTATGTTGTGTTCAATAGATAAATGTGTAATATTTACTTCAATAATTGATATTATAATCCATGATCAATATACTTAGTAATGTAACAGTGAATTGTAGTTAATTAATCCTGATGATTGACTGAATTATGAATAAATCAACAACTCAGGGGAAGCATGGTAAATGACGGATAGCCGGGATGTAGCTATAAGATTTGGACTTCACAAATGATCTATCCTTTCTATCCTATTACTTACTTACCTACTTACGCCCGTTACTCCCCAAATGGAGCATAGGCCACCGATCAGTTTTCTCCAACCAACTCTATCTGTCCTGGGCTTCCCTCTCCCGTTCTGTCCAATGTTTGTTCATTCCTCTCATATCTTTATCTATTTCTCGGAGTAATGTGTTCCTTGGCCTTCCACTTTTCCTTTTGCCTTGAGGGTTCCATGTGAGCGCTTGTCTCGTGACGCAGTTAGGTGCTTTCCTCAATGTGTGTCCTATCCACTTTCACCACTTCTTCCTGATTTCCTTCTCCACTGGAATCTGGTTTGTTCTCTCCCACAGTAGGTTGTTGCTGATGGTGTCTGGCCAACGAATACGAAGTATTTTGCGTAGACAACTGTTAATAAACACTTGTATCTTATGGATGATGGCTTTGGTAGTTCTTCAAGTTTCCGCTCCATACAGTAGAACTGTCTTGACATTTGTATTGAAAATCCTGATTTTGGTTTTGTTTGAAAGTTGTTTGGAGTTTTAGATATTTTCCAACTGTAGAAATGCAGCCCTCGCTTTGCCAATCCGCGCCCTTACATCTGCATTGGATCCACCTTGATTGTCGATGATGCTGCCCAGATATGTAAAGTTGTTAATGTCCTCCAAGGCATCTGCATCAAGTGTGATTCGGTTGGTGTATATTGTGTTGTATCGGCGAATCTTGATTTTTTCTTTATGTATGTTGAGACCTACTACTACTGAGGCTGCTGCTACACTCGTCGTCTTCTCTTGCATTTGTTATTGCGCGTGCGATGGAAGAGCCAGATCATCTGCGAAATCCAGATCGTCCAGCTGCGTCCTAACCGTCCAGTTGATACCATGCTTCCCTCCAGATGTCGACGTCTTCATTTTTCAATACAAACGTCACATAGTTCAATTGTATGGAGAGGAAACTTGGAGGACTATGAAAACGATCATTCGAAAGATACAAGTGTTTATTAACCGTTTTCGACATAAGATAGTTCAGATCCTTCAACAACCTATAGTTGTACAGAATAAACCAGATTCCAGCTGAATAAGAAACTAAGCGAAAGCGTTAGGCGAGAATGGGATACATTATGGAAATCGGCCAACTACGTGATGGCACAACCTTCAGATTGGAATTCTCGAGGCCAAAAGAATACAAACAGACCAAAATAACACCTTGTGCTGGGAATCGGAGACAGATATGAGGAGAATGATCGGTAGTTAGTTTGATTATAACATAAATAGTGTTCAGTAGTTTTTATACAGTATTAAGATTTCAGTGATTACTAAATGATTTTTAAAAAAGTAATTGAAATTCTATCCATTAGGCTGTAGTTGTTAGTATTAATCTCAATTCAGATAACATCTAAATTCTATAAAGGGTATTATTTACCTCATCACAGATTATTGATCAAATATCACCAGTTGAGACCTAGGAGTAGTATGGAACTCTTTAACAAAAAGTCTCCACGACCCAGCAAACAGGAATCGAACCAAGGATCCTCAGCCTCGTATATAAATGCTGAACTCTAATCGATCTAAGGTATTGCGTAACCTCACCCACTGTCTTCGGCAGCTACTGCCTACACCTGACAAACTTGAACTTCACTGGTCAAGGCTCCTTATCAGAACTCCGCGAACTTCCTCACGAAATTAGGGACTAGTAAAACATACTTCATGAAATTTTTATTGAAATTATGAATCAGTCATTGTTAGACCACTATTAGAAACTTTGGAACTGCTGAGTCCCACCCTAGGACAAAACGGCCCGTCCAGTACTTTCAAGTTTCTAACAGTATTCTGACAATGATCAACTCATGATTTCAGTAATATTGTTAAATTTGAAAGAAATTTTATCCTTAAATGTGGAAGAGATTAACGTAGTCTATAGTTGATAAATCTAAGTTGGGAACTGTAAAATATGACAATGGCTTATTGTTTATTGGTTAAATTAGATTATAACATATATAACTACTGATGTTGTCACAAAAATTACGATTAAGTCATACTTCGAAGTAATTTAAATCTTCCTACCTACGTGCATAGTACTAAAAACTCATTAATCAATCAACATGTCTGAGACCGAAGGCTCTGAATTCAATTCCCGTGGACATGCACTACTGATGAGTCCCATCCTAGGACGAAACGGCCATCCAGTGCTACTAGGTTTCTCACAGTGATCTAAAATTTATCGATTCATGATTTGAAAACAAGGCCTTTTGTACACAATTCAGACCGATTTTTGGCTGTTTGATCTACTGTTCTAACTCATATGGGGAGACAATTAGTTTTTTTTTTAACAAAAAGGGAAAACCAGCGAAATTTGAAATTTCAATTGTATGACAAATGAATAAAACAAATACAATCCGTAAAAATTTAATGATCGTCGCATTTTATAATAAAATGAAGCGAAATGTGAAAATACTGATCATCACCTTCTTCAAAAAATAGTCTATCAGTTCTGCGATCGATCTCTGTTGCATTTGGCATAGAAAATGACGAAATCTGCTAATTAATCTATGTTATATAATCATTGAAATCATGACTGAATCATTGTTAGACTATCATTAAAAAGCTGGAAGCACTGGACGGTCGTCTCATCCTAGAATGGGACTCATCTACTGTACGCACCCACGACTCCTCCGACTCGAAGGAATCAAACTGAGGTCCTTCGGTCTTGCGTGCGAACGCAGCCGGAAGCATTTAACAGTATTAATGTCTAACTTTGATCAGTCTATAGATTTTGCGCAACCTCACAGATTGTCTTCTGTAGTTATGCTTCCCACACACCCGACACAGTTTATCTCCACTGGTCACACTACAGACCTGAGAATTTCTTCACGAACCTAGTTGTAGAGATTGTAATTTACTACTTAAAAATCATAAATCAATGTTATATTAAAAACAAAATAAACTTATATTATTCACTAAAACAAAATGTTCAATCAATTTGAACAATAATAAAATAAGTATTATTACTTACATGAATTTCATTTAAAATCCACTGTCATATGATATTTAGGGATTAAAATATTTAAACACTGAAAATTAAATGTTTTCAATATAGAAAAAATTAAAAATAAATCATCACATCATCAACTTTGATTGATATTATCATTATGATTATTTACTCGCACTTCATTTAAACAAATTCTCCAGTTTAAACGTTACAGATTCGTTGCATTTCTATTGACCAATGAATAATAAGCAGTGGAAAATTCAACCAATCAAAAACATGTTGTTAACTGATATGGAAAAATTCAAAGTACGCTAGAAAATAGTGTACAAAATTTAAACACTGATGAATTGTATTGATATGGTGCAGAGGTAGGGGAATAAAAAATTCATTTATTTTTCGTCAACCATAGGACAAATTTGTTTTTCCCTAAAAAGTGTCGTTAGAAAGAAGTATTCGCCTCTATTTTCATAGGCTAATTAAAAATTATTAAGCTTATAACTATGTTACACATTTTTGAAACCATGAATAGATCAATGTTAGACCACCATTAGAAACATGGAAGCACGAGAGGGTCGTCTCGTCCTGGTATGGGACTCATCAGTGGCAGTGCGCATCCGCGACTCCTGCGTCCAGAAGGATTCGAACTCAGGACCTTCGGTATTGTAGGCGAACGCCTAACTTCTGGACCACTGAACCGATATCCAATGGTGTTAATGTCTTACTTGATCAATTCACGTCGTTGCGCAACCTCATACACAGTCTTTGGTAGTTACTGTCTACACCCGAACAGGTTGAACTTCACTGGTCACGTCTTCCCACTAGAACTCGGAGAAGATTCCTCACGAAGCTAGTCACTAGTGAGCACAGGTAATTAATTGTATTATGGGGTTGTGAAGATTTTTAAGTTATACATTTTCGAAACCATGAATCGGTCAATGCTAGACCACCATTAGAAACCTGGAAGCACTGTGTAAGTAAATTTGTGAAAATTATTTAGTCAAGTTTTTTATAAAGTTTAAAGTTAATTTGACTACAGTTTCAGGCTAAAATGAACTTCAGCGTCATGATAAATCATAAAATGGTAAGCAGTTATTTTGTTTTCATTGAAATCCTCGCATAAATACGAAAAAACAAACAGCTCATGTAACTCCGCTTGAAGCCGTTCTAGGGTTACTGCCGGTCCCAAACCCGGGTAGAGGAGCAAGGTTGGGCATGGGGTCAGCTACCCATCCCATAGAAAGCCAACTCGCTAAATAAACGCTCACCAGACAAATAATTTTCTGGTCGGTGGCCTATGCTCTATTAGGGGTAACTGGCATAAGCAGGTAAGTCAATGAGAGAGTAAAATATCCCATTTAGAATTGAAGATAGAGTTTTGAGTTATAGCGGAGAGAAGTTAGCCTTCAGAATGATGTACTGGGATACTAATCAAAAAATACCACCAACGGTATCATCACTCTGAACAAGATTGAGCTTCATCAATCACCATCCCACTGAAACTTCAGGAACTTATTTCCTAAATGTTCACCATTCAGTAAATATTCAATCAACTTATGATCGAAAGTTTTCATTTATTTAAAATGTATTCAGATGACACATTTTATAAGTTACAAGGAAAATATAAAACTCACCAATATCCTGTAAAAGTTAAAAAGATGCCATCAATCCGGTAGGCGTATTTCCAAGGGTGGATCCCATTGAACAAAAAAGGAATCTTGATTCACCACTCTTCATCTTCTAAGGGTTAAAAACATTTGTACCAATGATGAAAATGTACAGATATTCATCAATTATGGTCATCAAACTAGATTCATTTACATAAACCTCAACACAACACCTCGATGTAACTAAATTTCCGTAGCACCAACGAAAATCCTTCACGTGAATATTTAATTTCAATGAAATATAGTAGCAGACATCTTGAAAAATTAACTCTCTCTCACTCTAGGTCTTGAACATTGACTAATTCCTAGTCGTCCTTTGATTCTTGTTTGTGAAAAGAATAATTTTCCATTTTCGGACAAACCACGATGCATTTACAAACACACGTCCGAGCACTACCTCACTCTAAATCATCTTTCAAATAATTTTTATCAAGTTGAACTGTGTGACTGAAATAAAATCACCAAACAGAAGCTTATATGAACAGCAGAGACAGTTGCATAATGCTTTATTTTGTCTTTAGTCTAGACTACTAATCATATTGTTATTTGATCAACACTCAAAACAAATAAACCGACTTCACTTACATGATATTGATCATTAACCAAAGATTAATCAATTTTAAATATCTGGTGAGTCATTATACTGTTACACTGATAATCCTAAATATATATTTTATCATTTTGGGGCAGAGTTTTGGAGGTTTTTTTATTTTTACACATTTGAAATCATCAATCAATCATTGTTAGACCACCATTAGAAACCTGGAAACACTGAAAGACAGCCGTTTCGTCCTGGTATGGGACTGATCGGCAGTGCACATTCAGGACACCTGCTCCTCACAGGATTCGAACCCGGGACCTTCGGTAATGTAGGCGAACGCCTATCCATCTAACCACTGGGTCGGCATCCAACGATGTTAATGTCTAACTCTGATTGATCTAGGGATTTTGCGAGACCTCACCTATTTGTCTTTGGTAGTTACTGCCTACACCCGACAGCGTTGAACTCTATTAGTCACGTCTTCTCAACTGGAACTCCGAGAATTTCCTCACGAAGAAGCTAGTCACTAGTGAGCAGTGTCACGATGTTTTGGGGCAGAGTTTTGGAGGTTTTTGTGTTTTTACACATTTGAAATCATCAATATTTATTTATCTCCTATCGTAGATAAATCAACAATTCAAGACCGATTGGAAAAAGCATTCTACATGAAGATATCTCAGTTTATCAACAAAATCTGTACAGTTTATCTTCGGATTTCCATTTGTAAAACAAGCCGATTATTGGCAGTTGTCTTCTCCTCTATATATCGTCTAGTCTTCACAATACATCTATCTCGTTATACATTCGATATCGGACACTTTTTTTTCTGCTGTAGTAACTTCTGGGCAATATTCCACTGCATACTAATTAAAAAACCATGTTGTGAATAGTATACACTAGACTAGTATGACTAATTTTAGAGTTTAACATGTTTAACATGAAATGGTGTAGAGAATTTGTAGTTCAGGTGAATGATTGTGGTGGTTTTTCGTTTCTACATCTGAGCTGGATGTTTTGGTTTTGGAGCTTTCATTGTTCTTCTGCTGAACAACATCATCAGCACGCCATACATTCGTATGTGACACTCGTCTATCCGGTTTAAATTTCTGAAATACTCTTCATTATTTTGTGAGTAGTATTCACAACACTAGTCTGCTTTATGCTGATTGGTTATACAGTGAATAAAATAACTACTTTAATTGATTTCAAAGTTGATTTTTAATTTATGTCGAGAAATTTCTATTTCAATGATAATTTTGCACATTATGTACATTCATACAATTTAACTAAAATAATACTGATGAGAGACCAGCGGAGCTCAACCTTGTAGGATACAGGCAGTCACTCACCGATGACAATTTGTGTAAATTAATTTGTCAAGTTGTTTGTGAAGTTTAAAGTTAATTTGACTACAGTTTCAGGCTAAAATGAACTTCACCCTCATGATAAATCATAGAGTGGTTGAGCAGTTATTTTGTTTTCATTGAAACCCTCGCATAAATACGAAAAAACAAACAGCCCATCTAACTCCACTTCGAGCCGTTCTAGAGTTAAAGGAGAAGGGTTGGGCATGGGTAATCTACCCATCCCGTAGAATTCCAACTCGCTAAAAAACCGCTAACCAGAAAACTAATTTGCTGGTCGGTGGCTTATGCTCCATTAGGAGAAACAGGCGTCAGTAAGTGAGTGAGATATCCCATGTGCAAACGAAGATAGAGTTTTTAGTTTTCGCGCAGAGAAGTTAACCTTCAGACTGGTTAGTCAAAATGGTAATGTAATGTGTTGTACTAATCAAAAAAATACGACCAACGGTATCATCACTCTGGACAAGATTGACCCTAATCAATCACCATCCCACTGAAACTTCAGGAATTTATTTTCTAAATGGTCATCATTCAGTAAAAATGGAATCAACTTATGATCAAAAGTTTTCATTTGCATAAAATGTATTCAGATGACATATTTTATAAGTAACGACGAAAATATAAAACTCACCAATATCCTGTGAAAGTTAAATAGATGCCATCAATCCGGTACGCGAATTTCCCAAGGATGGATCCCATTGAACAGAAACGAATGCTTGATTCCCACTTCATCATTTGAGGGTTAGAAACATTTGTACCAATGATGGAAATGTACAGATATTCATCAATATTGGCCATCAAACTAGGTTCATCAATATAAACCTTAACACAAAGCCTCGATGTAACAAATTATCTATAGCACCAATGAAAATCCTTCCCGCGAATATTTAATTTCAATGAAATATCTAGTGAAGGAGAACACAGGTGAGGGCAACCGAATTGTATTTAACGAAAATTAAAGTGTTACTCAGTAAAATAGGAAAACCATATAGTGCCCGTTAATTTTCAAATCTTCAATCCATCATCAATCCATTGTCTGATATTTCACTATTCATACGTTTCATACAAATTCCATTGTGTTCTTCTAACTCTTCCTTTCTTGATCTTCCGCCATCTTCTGCTGCCAGACATTACGCTTACACTCACGTCATATACTACTTATAAGTAGCGCGCACCACAAATATAGTAGCAGAGATCTTGAAAAATTAACTCTCTCACTCTCCCTCTCTAGGTCTTTACAGAAAACTTGAACATTGAATTATTCCTATTCGTTCATTGATTCTTCTTTGTGTGAAGAATAAACTTCCGCTTTGGAACATACCATTATATGCATTTACAAGGTCATTTTCTCCAATAAACCAAATTATATCACCTTCAAATAGTTAGATCTATCTAAACATACCTACGAGCACTACCTCATCCGGCTATTAAAAAGGATTACAGATTTCATTCAATAACTTCATTTTTGAACACCTCGTAAACATAGAGATCATGTAGTCCTACTCTAAATCATCTTTCAAATATTTTTATCAAGTTGAACAGTGTGACTGAAATA